CCAACCTGTACATAGATCAAGACCCCAAAATGGGGGCAAAAAATATCAACAGTCTACAAGGTCTCACAAACAAAACAAATAAAAATAAAATATATAGTCTGTCTACGGGCTAACAGGTGCCCGAAACTGAAACTGAATATGAGCATGAAATCAAGTGACAATAAACCCTAATCTACTGAAAGCGGAAAGATGGATATCCAAGCTGGTCCATCCGAACAAGCGTGCGAAGGCGGAGTGGAGCAGTGTCTGTCTGGAACGTATGTGTGTCGGGTATGGTGGCACCAAGGCTGGCAAGGTAGTCAGCAGGTCTGTTCCCCTCACGGAAAATATGCGTAATCCTGTGATGGACTGACCGAAGTAGATTTCTAATGCGCATAAGCGGGTGCTGAATCTGCCACGAACCCTGATGGCCCGAGGTCAGGAGGGTGGTAACAGCCGCAGCATCCAGCTCGATCCATATATGACTAGAGATGTGGGCAGCTATCTGAAGGCCAATCTGTAGTGCCTGAATCTCTGCATCGTAGCTCGAGGAGGCCTGAATAGACGCGTGAAAGACGGTGATGAGGGCGCCGCTATGGTCCCGAATCAAGCCTCCTCCTCCGGCAACTCTAGTGTGGCGATCGAAGGAGCCATCAGTGTTCAGCTTGACCCACGGAGAGTCAGGTCGAAGCCAAACAACAGCTCTGGCCCGAGGAGTCNTCCCGAATCAAGCCTCCTCCTCCGGCAACTCCAGTGTGGCGATCGAAGGAGCCATCAGTGTTCAGCTTGACCCACGGAGAGTCAGGTCAAAGCCAAACAACAGCTCTGGCCCGAGGAGTCCGAACAGGCGGTGGTGTGGCCACCATGTAGCGATGCGGTGGCGTGCAGCCTGTCCAGTCTCGGGCCGTGAGCCTGCCCAATGAGATGAGGAGTGAAATGTGTCTCTCAACCTGCAAAACAATGTGAGAAAAGTAGTATCCCTATGCTTCGCACTATTCCTTTCTGTCCAGGTGAACCAAAGGATCAGACAAGGAATGAGGAAGCCCACGTGTCTAAGGTGTGTGCTCTGTGAGAAAAAACTCAGGAGCTCAAAAAAACTGTATGTGGTGGGTAGGGATATATGGGTCCAAGTGGCAAAATGCTCCCACACTCTCCTCACAATCTCACTCTCTAGAAAAAGGTGGGTAAAGGTCTCAATCTCATGGCGTCCAGTCTCAGAACAACACACACACCGAGATGGGAAAGAGATCCCCCTCGCGTGTAGCACAGTGTCTTTTGTTGCTAGATTATTACTTTCTTGCTGCTAGGTTAGTTGTTTTTGTTGCTAGGTTATTTCTTTCTTGCTGCTAGGTTAGTTGTCTTTTATTGTTAGGTTATGTTATTTCTTTTCGCTGCTAGGTTAGTTGTCTTTTGTTGCTAGGTTATTTCTTTCTTGCTGCTAGGTTAGTTGTGTTTTGTTGCTAGGTTAGTTGTCTTTGTTGCTAGTTTAGTTGTTCTTTCTTGCTGCTAGGTTAGTTGTCTGATAATTGCTAAGTTAGTTGTGTTTTGTTGCTAGGTTAGTTGTAGTTTAGTTGTTCTTCTTNGTGTCTCTCAACCTGCAAAACAATGTGAGAAAACATAAAAGTAGTATCCCTATGCTTCGCACTATTCCTTTCTGTCCAGGTGAACCAAATGATCAGACAAGGAATGAGGAAGCCCACGTGTCTAAGGTGTGTGCTCTGTGAGAACTTTCTTTCTTGCTGCTAGGTTAGTTGTGTTTTGTTGCTAGGTTAGTTGTCTTTGTTGCTAGTTTAGTTGTTCTTTCTTGCTGCTAGGTTAGTTGTATTTTCTTTCTTGCTGCTAGGTTAGTTGTCTTTGTTGCTAGTTTAGTTGTTCTTTCTTGCTGCTAGGTTAGTTGTGTTTTGTTGCTAGGTTAGTTGTGTTTTGTTGCTAGGTTAGTTTTCTGATGCTGCTAAGTTAGTTGTGTTTTGTTGCTATGTTAGTTGTCTGATGTTGCTAAGTTAGTTGTATTTTTTTTTTATAAAAAAATTGTAACTCATAGGATTTGAACCTGGTACCTCATGGAGGCAAGACAAGCAATGCAACCACTACACCACTCAAGGTTGAGTGTCTTTAGTTGCTAGGTTATTTATTTCAATACAACGGGTCAACGCCGGAAGTCAACGGTCAACGCCGGAAGTCAACGGTCAATGACGGAAGTCAACGATTTTCGCCGGAAGTCAACGCCGGAGTCAACGGTCAACTATTTTATTATTNGTTGCTAGGTTAGTTGTAGTTTAGTTGTTCTTTCTTGCTGCTAGGTTAGTTGTATTTTGTTGCTAGGTTAGTTGTCTGATGCTGCTAAGTTAGTTGATAACCCATAGGATTTGAACCTGGTACCTCATGGAGGCAAGACAAGCAATGCAACCACTACACCACTCAAGGTTGAGTGTCTTTTGTTGCTAGGTTATTTATTTCAATACAACGGGTCAACGCCGGAAGTCAACCGATTCTTGCCGGAAGTCAACGGTCAACGCCGGAGTCAACGGTCAACTATTTTATTATTTAATTAATGTATATTTTAATTGATTTTGATCTAGACAAAATGAGTGGCTAAGATTGAGTCTCACGTACTCATTTTAAGGAGTGGTCTCATTGGATCCATCCCCTATATATATATATATATATATATATATGTGTGTGTGTGTGTACATAACACTTACATAGAGTGAGGTCCACTTACTTTTTTATTTTTAGAATGAGGTCCTCTTAAGTTTTTATTTTTTGTCGGTCTTACTCACATTTTTTAGAGTGAGGTCCTCTTAAGTTTTTATTTTTTGTCGGTCTTACTCAGTGTGAGTGTTATGTACACCGTTTTGTACAATATTATATACCTATAGCATTTCTCTTATTTATTTACCATAAGTTGGCTTGAAAAAAATTATTAATAAATATTTTTAATACACGAGTTGTAAAACTATTTATTATGGTACATCATTTTTCATTGAAAAAAAATGTATATTGTATTTTAATTTGAAATTATGCATATCAATTAAAAAAAATATGACTATATATCAATTATTGCCTAACAGTAGTTTTATGCAGCCATATACATATTTTTGTTGGTGGATGAACGTTGTAAATGTATTCTGCAAACTGCAATTGCATATTGATATTCTGATGTCAATGGAGGAGAATTTGAGCATGAGGAATTGGAACATTTTAAAGATCAATATTCCAAAAGAATTACAGCATCTTGTAGCTGTACAAAATGTTACTTATTTATTTAATTGCAAATAAATAAATAAATAAATAATAAACTCTAACAGCCAAAAAAAATATTGTAACAGCTTTCAACTGCCCACCCGACCGGATTTTCATCAAACTCCATTGCAAGCTCTCTTGATATGACAGCTGCCTTGTAAGTTCGTTCTTTCTATCGATCGCATTTTGCATTTGTAATCGCGAAAAGCTGTGTAGAACTGCCGGCATGGACACACGAACGAAAATAAATTTACCAAAAAAATAAAAATAAAAAAATCATGTCATGCCAAATTGCAATGTCTGGTATAATAAACATGGTGTACTTGAAAGAAAACAAGAAATGTTTCTTAGGGAAAGGAGAATATGTAATGCCATCTGCTCTTAAACCTTATATATATCAATTGAAAATTTCTCAAAAGAAGTGTAGACACTGCTGGAATCTCCATTTATTGTGTTGCTAGAAATTTACAACCAAAACCAGATATCAACAGACAGCAACATTTGTCTGACTTAAAAAAAACGAGTGCTTTAGAAAACATTCATACCTCTTTTCATCGTCATCTTTCATTGGTACAATCGTCGAAACGTAGAACCTGTAAAAAAGAGATAAATTGTAAATACTGCATTTTTCACACATTTTTAAAGATAATCAACTAAATGGTTCTCCCAATTACAGATGGAAAAATTCTTACTCCAATGGTAGGTAAAGTTATATGTACACACGTCAAACCATAAGATCTTTCTGCCCCAACTGGATCATCTTGAACTTAAGCTGCTAGCAAAAACTACAACAATGAGAAAGTATAAATAAAAACAAATAAAGTTAACAAATGAAAATCAAAGAGAGATTAAAAGGAACAAACATCGAATAATAATACTAAACTCGTACCCCCAAGAGCAAGATCCAGAGCTCGCCACACATCTCATTAAATCACCATCAATACTCGTGTGAGAGTGTCTCACAATCAATAGACTTCTCGATTTTCAATTCTCGACCACAACTGATAAAGGTCAAACACTTTATCCAGCTGCCCCATCCTGAAAAATTTCTTCATCAGTATCACAACTGGCACATGGTCGATCGGCAAACCTGAATTCCATATATTGAAAAAGAGTCGATCCGCCTCCTCGATTTTTCCCCGCATGCAGTAACACTTTAATAATTCGGTATATGTGATTATATCCGGTTTGCACCCTCTCCTCAGCATCTCGTCATGCAGCTCGAGAGCCGAATTTATGTGGCCCATTTCACACGCAGCCCCAATCAACAAATTGTAAGTGACCAAATCGGGCCAGAGCCCAGCCCAAAAAATCTCTCTCTTCAGATAATGAGCCTTTTCCAAATCTCCATTTCTTATATGCGCGTAAATCAGAGCATTATACGTGTACACATTAGGCACGATTCCAAACTCGACCATTTTATCTCTCACGGACAATGCATCTTGTAACTCTCCATATTTCCCGTAGCCATTAATAACGACATTCCAAACGAGAGGTTCGGGTAAAAACGAGTTTTCCAGCATTTGCAGAAGAAAACGGTGAGCCCTTACCACATTCCCACTAATACACAAACCTCGGATAATAATTTTGTACGTGATGCTATCGGGAAAAACACCCATCCTCTGCATAACATTAAAAACATAACAAGCCTCGTTCGCCTGGCCCGATTTGCAGAGCTTTCCCAAAAGGGTATTGAAAGTAAATATGTCCAGAAGGTAACCACTTTTGAACATCTCGGACAAAGATTTGTACACCTGGCATAAGTCCCGATTCAGACAGAGCCCGTGAACAACAACGTTGTACGCAACAATATCGGCATTCGTGCCCCTCTCGAACTCATCATCCCAACAAGCGAGAGCTTCGCCCGTTTTCCCGGTTTTGAAATAACTATCCATGAGTATAGTCGAGGTGATTAAACTCGAGCTTTCCCCTTCAGATTCTTCTTCGTCCAATATTTTCGTGAGAAGCTTCCTCGCATTCTCCATTAGCCCCTCCTTGCAAAGAGCGTGCAAGAGTATATTACACGAGACTCTGTTTGGCCTCACCCCATTACTAGCCATGGTATAGAAAATATCTAGAGCTTTGTCTACTTTTTGCGCGAGGCAATAGCCTTTCATCAACGTGTTGTATGTGGCGCAAGTAGGATAAGGGCCGTGGAGTGACATCTCTTTGAAAAGCCACTCGGCCCTCTCAATGTAACCATTATTAGAAAGCGCGTTTAAGAGGTAATTGTAAGTAATAACATCGGTAATCCTATGATGTTTAACCAACGTCTCCCAAAGGGAAAAGGCTGCTCCGAGTTTACCTTCCAAACACAAAACTTTTATCATAGCTATATCGAACTCGTATTTCATTTCCAAGATTGCCTCATTACTACGAGTACTCCCCCAACCTATGCTTTCCCTGTAATGTTCCGATTAAAAATTTGCAGGAAATATATACTCGTGCGATGATATTCCCAAAAAAAAAAAAAATCCTCGAAGATGTCAACTTTCAGAAAACCCCTTTCCCAAAAAATAATAAGGTTTTGTTTCGCAGCATATCAATGTCACGATTGTAATTTGCCAACTAGGATTACTGTGGCTTCTTGAACTGAAATTGAGATGAAAATGAGAGAATAATACACTAAGTTGTAATGGCTCATGAAAACCACGGTATAAAATCCTAAGACGCAACTGCTTAGAATAAAATGGCAATAGATTACAAACAACAAACCGAACCTCATTTTTTTCAAACGATCCAAATTTCCCTTTAACATTGCATCCAATGCGTTGAAAACTGCGGCTCTCGGCTCTTCTTCGCCATCGGAAGCTTCCCTCTTCTCGTCTCGATCGCTGCCTATGGTCCTACTTGTGCATAAATTGATACAATAAGGTTTTTAGCAACACATTGACAATTAATAAGAAAAAAAAATGCTCTTACCTGAATTCAATCAGGTCTAAGCTGGATTTGGGACAAACAAAGTGATTGAAATAGAGAGAAATCTGGTTCTTTAACGACTCTAGGGCTTGTAAGCTCCCGTTCAAAATGCGGAGGAGAAAATAGGATTCTTGAGTGGGTATTAGAAGCTGAGATTCACACAAAATTTGAATAGCAATTAGATTGAATGAATATCAACAAACTGAGAGAAGAATGGAGAATTTCAGTGACTTGCCGATTGCATTGGCTCCGGTAGAGCGGCGGACTGAGGGCGACGGCGACAGCGGGCGACGGTGGAGCGGCAGCGCGTAGGTGTGCGTAGGACGAGGACTTCGACGGTCTCCAAATTTGTACAAGGCAACTTTCGATTTTCAAACACAGGTTTAAGACTGGTCCGTATATCAAGCCCAAATCAGTGAAGTGGGCCTTCCTACTTTTGAGCTTACATAACTATTAAGACCCCGCATACGGGCCCAATACTTTCCGAACCAACGTATACAGAAAAATTTACCTTGACCATGTATATAAGACTTATTGACGGGAATGTTAAACTTATTTTTTGGGTACAATTATATACCAAGTTAAATTCATTAATTTTTTCATTAATTTTTAATATATTTTTCATATATGAGATAACTGTTTTACCAAGTTAAATTCATTTTAAATATAATAAATTTATTAAAGATAAGAGATAGATGACATAAGTCGATGGGCGGTTGTGGACGTCATCCTTATAATACCTACAAAGCCGTTGCGCATTTGTTCCGTAGTTTGAAGGTGACGAGTTTAATTGATGTTTATTGATGGTTTGCTTGTGTTATAATGATTTTTTTTTTCATAGTTTTGGTTTTATTATAGTTTATATTTAATATATGTATGGTTGACGATGTTTCAAACTTTGGAGAAAAATATTTTTCGGTTGTGTTTGATATAACTCGTAATACCTCATTCAAGTCAGGAGCGAAAATGTATTGCCCTCCAATATAGATAACATTTTGTTTTTTTATTTTATCACTCTTTATCAATGCACAACTGTTAGACTTGTTTAGCAAAAGCCTATCAATCTTATTGTATTTTTATCTTTTTAGTCCTAAGCTAAGCAACACAAACGAAAATTGACAAATTTTCTATCTCAAAAAAGTGAAAGTATGATACTCGAGTTGTTCTAGTTAAATTTATTGAAACTAGTAGAGTACTAATAACATTCCATATTACACTGGTACTGCTAATAAAAAAAGATATTTTAATTTAAAAAAAAAAAAAAATCAAAAGTGAAGTTTTAGTTTTATGTTTCAAACTATTATTGAAATAACATTATTATGCATATTTAATATGACACTAGTAGTTTGTAGACGGTAGACCTACTTTCTTAAATTATAATAATTTTTTCATTCACATTATATGATGAATTTGATAGATAATTTTTTTAATTGATATATGCTTTTGTTATTTACCAAAGAAGATCAATAAATAATTTATTTATTATTTATAAAGGTAAATATATATATATATATATAATTATTTATATATGCAATATAAATGTCAGATTGAAGCTCGTAAAAAACTATTAATTTGATACATTATATATAAAAAATTTAATAAAAATGTAAAAGTTATTTACTCTTAAAATTCATTTTTGAGTTAAGTTAGAAATGTATTTTATAATTTTAAAGTCTGACATAAATAGAAATCCAAAACTACATAGATTATTAAGAGTAACTATAATTGACTTTAAGAGGTACAATTGGACAATATATTCTTGATACTATACTTTATATTTACTATCTTATAGTGATAGCCATTGAACTGAATACACTGAAAGCATTACTAATTATGGATCAATAATGAAGCAAAAGTTGATATGTATGTTGGAAACTTTACATTCATGTATATGACATATTTTTGCAAAGTGTTAAAAACACAACTCTGTAAATTTAATGAATACACTAATAATCAAGAATATATATATACGTTCGTCATTTTTTTAATATTCTTTCAGTTGAGCAAAGATTCTTTTAGTGCTTGATGACACTGCGTCATTCTTATCCATGTTGCCTTTAAGGAAAAATCTCAGGTTAATTTCACAGTGGAAATTATTGTGTCATCAACTTTAAGTGACTGGAATAATAATAGGTCATAGCCTTAATGACTTTGTCAACAAATCTGTACCTTTTGTCATTATGGTGATGATTAGATTACTGTAAAATATACTCTATTATTTTAATTTTTTTTTTCTAATTGAGGAAAATGACTGAGACGTCACGAAACAATAACACAACACGACATTATTGTAAAACACATTTATCGATGTAAGTAACTGTTGGGAATGACAACTCAAAACTCACTTCTCCATTAAACCAACATATAAGTTTAAATGGGATTGCATTCTAAAATCAATTGATAATAGAAGGAGTAGTTCATCAACCTTATATATTAGACTTAGAACATTTAATTTTCGATGTGGGATTGAGTTTGCAGACTCTACACACCACATGGACACAACCCGAAACACTACACGAAAGGCGAAAAAAAGAAGTTAAATTTTAACTTATTATCATATTACAAAATCTTTACGCGAAGTTTCATCGTTAGGCGGGACGACTCATCATACATTTTAGCAAAAGGTATACTTATGTTATGAAATTTTATATTTTTATTTATATTAATTTTTTAAGGTATGACATTTCAAGTTGAAAGTGTATACATTTGTTGGAAAAGAAAAGTTTGGTTATCTTATTATTTTTTATTATATTTATAATCAAACACAATTATATAAATAAAACAAAGCACAATAGTTAAACAATAATAATACTGTGACACCTCCTATCCAAAAATCACATTTTTAATTTGTTGGTGTTAATAATAATCAGGGGCGAAACCCGAAAATTACTTGAGAGAGGACAAAAGACATGACATAATTTGTAAAAGATAAAAAAAATGCATAAAATAGACAAAGAAGCGTCATTAACCCACCATCAGTTTTGCCCACGTTTATCCATCCGTTTTTTTTAAAAAAAAAATAAGATTTAAACATTTAGTTGTCTATTAAGTATTAATTATTTAACTTAATTTATTATTTTATTTAACAAGTTGGCCTACCAAGTGATTTTTGAAAACAAAAAATCTGAGGCTAGGGGTGCAAAAATAAATTTAAAAGGGGGGCAAATTAATTTTTTTAATATTAATAGTAAAAAAAATAAAATTTGAGGGGGGGCAATACCCCTATTAGGACATATAAAATCGCCCCTGATAATAATAATAATAATAATAATAATAATAATAATAATAATAATAATAATAATAATAATAATAATAATAACAACAACAACAACAACAGTTCGAGTAACTTTTCAAATGAATCTCGTACACTTCTTCGAGTAACTTTCAAATAAATCTGTTATTTTTTTTTTATTTCAAATTTACCAAACAATTTTTTGTTATGTTAGCTAGTTTTTTAGTCAATTACCTATAAACTCGAAATTCACTTATCAACTATATAATAACTTATCAGCTATCAGGTAATTTTATCAAACACCAACTATATACTAACTTATCAGCTATCAAGTAGTTTTATCAAACATGGTCTTCAATTGTCCCAAAATTGAAGAAATAAATAATATTAAAATTTTAGAAGGTAAAAAATAAAATAAAATCATGGTTTATTATTGTCTGATTTGCAATTCTCGAGCACAATCACTCCCATTTGTGTGCCTCTCATTTTCGTTTTCTCCCTTACTTAATTCACTCATAGTAATCATATTTCCATCATTAAAACACAATTTTTTCATGCTCGGAGGAGCCGGAGCGTACTCGGCCAGGAAGGTGGGTCCCACTTCCCCAGCCATGATCACCAGGACCTTCTCCACGTAGACCGGCGGGTCCCCGCCGTCGGAGCCGCGGTCATCTTTATCGGCGGCGCCGCCGCCGTCATCTTCGGAGGGCCTCGAGTGGGAGCAGGCGAGGATGAAGAGGGCGAGCGCTATGAGCCCCAGCATCGCCGCCAGGCCGCCGAAGAGGAAAGGCACCGGCGAGTGCCACTGCGAGCGGTGCGCGGCGGCCGGAGGCGCGAGAGTAGCCGTCGCGGCGGCGTAGGGTTCGGGGGTTGGGATTTTTGAAATTTGGGGAGATTGAAACAGAGTAGCACTTGTTCTCATGTTTCTGTTGCTAATTTTGGTTCTAATTTGGTGAGTGTGAGTGTGTGTGAGAGAAAAATGGCAGAGGTTTGTTTGGGGTGAAGAGAGATAAATGGTGATTGTGTGTGTATTTATAGGCTAGATATATGGGTGGAGAACAAACGGGTCGGCCGGTCGGGTTGATTTTGATTCTATTCTCTTATTTTTCGGGTGAGCAAAATGGAGCTAAAATCAAAAAGCATTTCGCTTTTTCCAGTGCACTGCAGATATAAACAACCTACAAAAAAACATTACACTTACAATTGCAACGTGATGATAAGTTTAATGTATTGGTTTCATTTCAGATAGTTCACAACTTCGACTCAATTAGTTGATAACGAATACAATTGATAACTATAATTGAATTAACAGTTTTGATTAGACACTTGATTTGGTAAATAGGTCATTATTTAATATATAAATATAACTAAAATTATAACTTCTATCGAAAAAGCTTATATATTGAGTTTTATTTAATTTTTTTTTTTTATTTGCAAAATTACTGATTTAGGTCTAAGAAACTATTTTCAAATCACTACTGACCAAACAATAAAATTAAAGGTTCGTATAGGTCAAACCTCTAATTCAAAAGTTATAAATATTTGTGTCTTGTTTTCTTTTTACGCATATTTATTTTTTCTCGATCTAGCCATATTCAAAAGTTATAAATATTTTGTAATCATCGATTAAACTGCTCAAATTATATTTTTCGTAACCGTGGTGCACCCACAAAACTCTAGTTACCAAACAAAGTTTAATTTCATAATACCTATAAATAGAGTTAAAAAATAAAACATGACATTGGCTAGTTATTTAATTTGACAAATCTCTTCATTCAATTGGGTCGCTTTTGTTCCAGAACTGGTTGTAATTTAATCAAGCACTTCCTAAAATGTGAAAGTTTTCATGTGTCAACGTGACCAAAGCCGTATATTAGTTCACGAGATAGATACCACACATTTTCTATTATTATATATATATATAAAATAAATTAGTAAAATTGATCTGCCCGAACCAATCTAGTAAATAGATAGACATATATACAAACATTTTCTTGCTCCAAATTAAACGAGGAGTTTTGATTATGATATTATCTTTTAAAGCAAAATTAAAATTAATTTATCATAATTTTATGTTCTTATTTTACTTTTATTTTTATTTTTGCTTTTTGATTGCTAAAAGAGTTGTGGCCTCTGCAGTAGGTTCTGCTGCCTAATTTTCATCGTACATGTAAACGTGTTTTACTTTAATTTCACTTGAACAATATGAATATTTTAACCCTTTTTTAATTATTAATTGAATACATTGATACGAATCTGGATGACTCCTATCCGGATATAATCTATACTTATATAAAAAAAGGGATCCTATTTAATACACATAATATCCAGAAAAGTCAACTGTAATTAATGTATTACTATTTCCAGCATGTATTTAATTTAATTATTTTATATTGAAATTAATGCTATGCGATTCAATTAATGTTATGACTATTCCTGTACAATCGGTTTTCCTGCGAAAAATTCCCACAAAATCAGCTTCAATTTTTTGTATATTTGAAAATTTAATTATTTTATATTGAAACTAATGCTATGCGATTCAATTAATGCTATTACTATTCCCATACAATCGGTTTCCCTGCGAAAAAAATCCACAAAATCGGCTTCAATTTTTTGTATATTTGAAATTTTTTTCTTGTCTTTTATTTGTTTTATCCCATACAATCCGTTTAGTCAGCAAAATCCCATAAAATCGTTTTAAACTTTTTGTAGATTGAAATTGAAATTTCCTTCTTATCATTTTACCAAATATTTTATTATTTATATATTGAAATTTTGTAATCCGATTTCAGATTGCACTACTGAAAATTCTGTTCTGATATTTTTTCCTTCTTATCTTCAAACAAATATTAGATGATTTTATTAGTATAAATGTTTTAGTGAGATAATATATTAATTATTTTACAAACTAGCCTTAATATGCTCATATTTAATGTTCTAGCTAAAAAAACGATAGTTAAAAGATGTGGAAAAAAACTTACAATAACTCCATTGTTTTTTTAACTTAACGTTGATTAAAAGAAGTAGAAAATAGATAATAACCCTATTATTTTTTGGACTTTAACGGACAAGGCTGTGAAAATAAGTCATTTAATATCTCTGTTTCGTGCATCGCACGGGGTACGTACTAGTATAAATAATTGATAAGCGAAAAAATGTTACCGAATTGTGCAGGATTAGAGATGAAATCTATATGCATTTGATTGGCATTAGCCGCGATGAAGACACTAGAGCCAACTTCTTGGTTGATTTGATCGAGCATTTGAAGCAATTGAGGGTTGTATATTGATGCAGCCTTTTGTAATTCCATTGAGCATTCTCCATTGTTGCTGCGTAGGGCCAATTCTGCCAGCACGCACCCTAATGGCCCGGTTCCCGTCACTATAACCCGTTGGGCCCCAAGATCGTATAATCTCTGCATCATCAAATCAAATGTTGACTGAGTTAAGATATGTTAAAATATAGTTGTCCCACATTGATTTTTTAGGAAAATAAAATGAGCCTAATTTGTATATCTAGTGCTAGTCCTCCCATATTGGTTTTGAGATGGAATTATACTATGGTGCATCTATGACCACCCTTTTATGGTGCACTTCATATGCGTGGGAATGCACCCTCTTGTCTCGATTTTCTAAATCTTATTAGATATAATAAAAATTATTACAACTATTATAAATCATTGAATTGCGTAAGAGTGCACTCTCTTGCCCCGATTCTCGATCTATACTGGATAAGATAAAAATTAATACTACCTCTTTTTTTTTCAAATGTCATTTTGACTTTATCAACAATTAACCAAATAAATGACGTTTTGGTCTTTTGTACATATTTTTCCATTCATCTAGTTAATAAATACATTACATCTTTTGATATTCACTCTTCATCTTTTTTCAAAACATTTATCTCTATCCTCATTAATAAAGGTTATTATTGACAAAAAAAAAATTAATTATTGTGCAACTTCTCAAAACGACACTTATCTATATTTATATAAAAGGGGATCCTATTTACTACATGTAGTATCCATAAAAGTCAACAGCATTAAATGTCATTACTATTTCGGTATTAGAATATTTTATATTCATTATAAAATATTATAAGGAAGACAATTTATGAATTCACTTACCGTAATAATCTCATTTAGATTTATTAGGTATTGATTGGGGACATTATAATCAGATTTTTTATTATTACACATAGATTAATCGTAAAATACTAATTTTATATATATAATCGATCAAATTTTTTATTATTACACATAGATTATATTTTTGATTCATTATATTGCATTCAGATTTATTAGGTAATGATCTAAACATATAATGATTATATATAATTTAGGGTTACATTTATATAGATCAATCATTCATATTAGGGTTACATTTATATAGATCAATCATTCATATTTTTTATAATTATTATATTTTTATTCCAAGATTTTACTTACTAAAATTTACGAAATAAATTTATAAATCTTACATTTTTCAGAATGAATTCAATACGAAAAAAATTTAGTCCAAAATTTACGTGTGGTTTTGAAGTAATACTTTGAAATTCAAAATCTCTTCGCATTTTAGTTACAAAAAAATCGGGTTGCATTCAACACTTGGACCAATTTAAAAATTAATCTTTAAATGAAGTAATTTATACATAATTGTTATCTCTACTCAATCACATTATTATTTTCAATATAAAAAGAGGCAGATTACAAATTAGTGAATCATATATTACCTAATTCAATATCTTAACATTAAGGAATAAATCCATAATACTATGTAAATCTGTATTATATCATTAAGAATATATTATAGTTATATTATCAAATCATAAAAAGATATTAAACCCATATTGTAAAAAAAACAATTCATATAATTTTATAACAATTCTACTACACTATTTAACAGTATTCATTTTTATTATATAATAAAATAATAATTAAATATTATATAGTGAACAACACTAAACAAAACTATTACTTTCTCTTATATCAAGAGATAAATTTATATGCTAAAAGTAAATTTTTATTAGTACAAATGTTTTAGTGAGATAATATATTAATTATTTTACAAGCTAGCCCTAACATGCTCATATTTAATGTTCTGACTAAAAAACAACACTGGTTAAAAGATGTGGAAAAAAACTTATAATAATCATATTATTTTTTAGGCTTAACGTTGATTAAAAGAGATAGAAAATAGATAATAATTTTATTATTTTTTAGACTTAAACAGACAAGAGTGTGAAAATAAATTATTTAATACTATTGTTCCGTACATCGCACGAGGTACGTACTAGTATGAACTAATCTACTACACGGGGAAAAAATTGACCTAATTTTTATTCTTGCATGTAACTTGGATTTCTTCATGTGTGTCAATGATTTTTCACATTGCTGCCAGAATAAATCACCCGCGTTTACTTTTGAAAATGGGCTTAATAGAATAACACAATGTATAGTTAAATATGCATTAATTCCTTTATTCTGATTTGACATTCTCTAATTAATATTCCACATCACAAATTAAATTGCATCTACATATATAACATATATAATATTGTGTCGGATGAAATATTCTGTTGAGATTGTGCATGCATACGAAAAATACAATGTAAAAAGTAGTTAATTTATGCTTGATTTAACATCAGGAATGT